AGTTGATGCAAAATATGGTAAGGTAAGTATATAACAATGTGCTGGTAAGATAATCAGTAATTATGCAATCGTTTATGGTCAGGATAAATAATGAAAAACTGAAGATTTTGCATTCATAAACAATATCCATGCCTTAGCAACAAGATTCGAAACTAATGACTGACTTTAGATATAGATTGTATTTGTGTAAGTCACAGGGTGTTTGAAATCAAATAATTCCAACGTTTCGCACGGTAGTCTGGTCCGAGCTTCTTCAGGGAAATAAACAAAATTAAAATATCAAGGATATATAAATGAATTTTTAAAAAACGTGTATTTAATCTCCTTGCCAATCCTCTTCGTATAGTCATTGTCTTTCTAAACCATGATAACTAATCATTCAGTGTGAAATTTTGTCTTTTGTTGTACGGCATATGTATGTATGTATGTATGTATGTACTCCAATTCATATTCGTCTTGATTGTAAATATCAGACAAAAAGGACACTGATGAGAGTCATTTGGCATTTTTATAAGTACAATTTATATCTAATGTCAGCCTTTTACTCAGCGCCCAATATTTGCCATACTATACGATCAAATCTTGACCACAGTTTATATAATGACTGACTCTTTTTAAATTCATAACAGTTACTGCTACTGCATGCCTGAGAAGATTAGGTTTCTGAAGGCTTTTTCTTTAAAGTCATTCAAGATTTTGACAAAGTGACATGTATTAAACAAAGGAATATTCGAAATTATCCATAGTTCATTTGGTACATGTTTAAGTAGGGTCTGTCAAACTTCAACTGCCTTGATGAACAGTGAATCTTGTAAAAATCGAAATTTTTAGTTATTGACAAGATGGATTTCAGAGTTGTTCAAAGTTTCCGATGCAACTTGATTATTACCATGTATTCTTTGAACTTTCGAGTTTTTGAATTCATCCGTTTCATGTTTTGACAAATAAATTTGGGCATTCTAGCCCCATCTTGTTCCATGAGTGGATCATCGTTCCGACTGGTCCTGGTATGAGGATGCTGAGATAGAAGCTATTCAAATTAAAATACTTTCCACTACAGGTTTCTTTTTCTCTAAAAGTGATCTCCGAAATAAGGTGCCGTCTCTTTAAGCAAGGCTCAGTAATTAAATTAGAAATACCATTTGTTTTATGATTGCAAGGTTAACGTTAGATTCACCTACAACTTTCTGAATCTTTGAACCAATTCTGGCATAGCTCATGTCAAAATGCCGAGGTATGATTGACAATGTAGCTGATTTAGTTATTATGTTTACATTAAAAATAAGTCTAAGATTGTATCTCACAACGTTTGAGATAATTTAGGGTTATTCAATCACTTACTACACCCCTCATTTCTCCAACAGACCAGAATATGTCCATGTTCTTTTGAATGGAGAAGTTTGTACACCTTCCATTTTGTGTACTACCATAGTATGGGAGTTGGTTACTCTATTTTAACTTTTCAATCATTAAAATCTAGAATTCTTCAATTTTTCTTCAGTTATTAAAAAAATATTCATCAAAACTCGTTATATGATTCATTTACTGTGACTTCAGTGTTATTGATGATGAGATTTAAAGAGTTGTGTTTACAAGAGACAGTAGTAAGAGTGATCATACTAACACAAATCAGCCTCCCAACGTATACTTAAATTTATGAATAAACCGCTGAAAATGTGAAAAGAAAAGTACTGTAGGCAGTTGAAAAAGTATATCATTAGAATTCCTACGTCTTAACGCTGTCCATTCTTTTCATTTTACGACTATAGAGTAAAGTAGTTAGTATCAATATAAAGCCTGATAGTACTGCGTTGTGGTTTAGACTATCATATCCTACATCAGCAACATGATGAGAGATGGGAAAGTTGAAATAATATCGTCACAAGTTGCAGAAATTCATAAAAAGGAAAGAAGAGGAAATAAAACAAACAAAGGAATATAGTGTAACAGTTAAAATAACAGTATGGCGTGAATACATCTGTGCTACTATGATCGGTTCTTACATATATCATTTGGAGCGTTTGGTCATCGAACTGGCAATCACTTAGATCCCAATTTGACAGTCTGAATTCATTTACACGATTTAGACCAATAATCAAAGGCTTCAGTGACTGGTGTCACATTTTAATCTTAGTTAACATCATGACTCGGAGTAAATGATGATTTGGTATGCGCAATGCATATTCCAGACACTAGTCAACGAATTTTTACGTCCTCATTAAGTGACTTGTCTTTCTCTTGTCTGAACTTTCAAGTCCAACTTCCCTTCGCACAGATTGTTTCAACAAAACCTATCCGATTCTGTGAATAAGATGGTGGTCAACTTCGTAGAATGTTCTTTTGCCTCAGCGGTCACGAGTAGGATGGGACAACTGCTCAATATACTCAAGCCTTGATAGCTGTTTAGGTGTTTTATAGACACAATAAGTGGCATTAGGCACAAAAAATCAATCAAGCCTTTGGATGCACAAAAATATTTTGCCAGTAACTGAACTGTTAAAGTTGTTCTAACTTCCAAAGTAACTGAAGTGGTCAACGTGTAAAACAATTTTACTCTGGGTGATACGGGTTCGAATTTCTCAGTCAGAAATCAGTCTTCTAGAATTTACAGACACCCCTGTCAACGAGTGCAAACAGGTACGATACCTAGGTCGAGCAGGATTTCCCACCGATTACTTTCAACCATCTAACATCAATCAAAGTGCATCGTGATGCTGAGTCGCCTAGTCTGATGACCATATTACAAAAGTGGTCGACACAGTTCGATCAGACAACATCAAAATTGGTTGCTCTCCAGTTATCAATCAATGTTTGATGTGCATTCCTTACAGTGCCAAACGGTCATAAAACCTAGCAATCGGAAGAGCCAAATGTCGTCTCCAGGTCAAGAAAGACGGCTAGCGTAGGATGTCCATAGTTGTGCCTGTGTTTGAAGTAGGCACTCTCAAAGCCAGCTATGAAACTTGTATTTTTAAAGATTTTCTGTTCCCAAACTTCATCTAGGTACCTGATGATTACAGAAGCTAAAATCTCAGATACCATACCAATTAAGCTAAATCCTCTGCGGTTATGGTAAGTGGCTTGTTTCCTCTCCTGAAGGCTGACATGAGTCAGAAGCAATTAGGTCCCATACCCATACGGCAGCTAGTGGTTCAGTCAGTTTCACTGATAGTCGTGGGTCGCCACACTCAAAATCCTCCAGTGAGGTCCAGTGGAAACTCGTTGTCTTCTCTTTTCTCAAAACACAGCCTTCTCGAGAGTCCAGGTTCAGATTGTTACTGGATAGCAGGAACCTGGTTATAACTAAAACTGAATTTGGGTGTTTTTAGGGCTCTAGAGAGTTGGAAATATGGACCACTGGATTCCGACCCAGTGGCCATGAAACCTAAGGGTCGAGGGTTTGAGCCCCGGGGGTCATAGGTGCGCACTGCTGAAGAGTCCCATACTGGGAAGAAACAGCTATCCAGTGCTCCCAGGTTTCTGACGTTCCTCCAACTGATATCAGTCTACGGTGAATACCAACTTGAAAAATAACTGAAATGTTTTTCAGAGCGTTCTACGGATTGCTTTACTGACTAGATCGCGACACTATTTTTTACTAGTCTCACTAACTCTCGACTATTTTTAGCCTAGTTTCTAAACAACTGCCTACTACTACTCATCGTCACTGCCTTCTCTGACTTCCTACTTCCCGATATTCACAGTCGTTACGCAATGCTTCTGTCAGTGTACACCCAAGCTGTTTCTGCCTATCGTTGCGCTTGGAGCCTGAAGGAATGAGAAACAGTCAAAACTAGTTTTATAGCCTCTTTACTGAATTAATCACCCCTTTCTTCGGTAGTCCTACCTTGCTGTACTTATCTATATACGTTTCACATTAATGGATTATTTATCATCAGTGTCTATCTGGGGTAGCCGTGGTTCGACAGGCTAGTAGTATTGACACTGGGTGATGAATGAAGGTGAAGATGCAACCTAGGTCGCAGTAGGACTCGGACCAGCAGCCTCCGGGTTACTGAGTCAGTGCTCTATTAGCTGAACTGAGACCAACCTGCTGACCAGGTCTTAATTTCACTCAACCAACACGGGTTTCGCGAAGCTATCATTTGAATCCGTCATATCTGCCCAGCAAGGTCTTTTCGGTAGCTGTTTCTAATCCAACCTCCAGTCAAATTTTCATTTCACCTTCAATCATCACGCATTATCAAAAGACTATTTATTATCGAACAGCAACGTCTTAGTAGTGTTTACCTCCCACTTTGTAACCTACCAACAGCATGCACTACGTAAACGTTCTTGGAAACATGCTGATGTCATGCGTCTAATGATCAACTGATATATGGTGTTTGGGTACAAGCTAAAGATATGTTGTAGTAACAAATGCTGTGTGTGATGAGGGAAATTTTGTAGCTCAGATATTTCATCAGGTTACTGTTTAGGAGCATAATATTAAAAAGAACTCATTTTTAACTAACCAGCATTACTATTTCCTGATGCTTATTCTACAGAAATTTTCGGTTAGTGGTAAACGAAACCATTGACATGGAAAAAAATAAGTTGGCTACCTGATGAATAGTTTGAATTGGTGGAGTGACCTTTCTATTATACCCCAAAACTAATCCAAGCAACCGATTTGTGCAGTCCTACTAGTGGTATGTCACAACTAAACAGCCAAATAACAACAATCGGAAAATGGACTAGAAAAGGATTTTCCAAACAGAAAGCGGGAAAGTACTAAGAAATCTGACCCGTATAAAAGTAATGACCACCCATGTGAATTGATGCGATCGATATAATCTAGTGGCTCATGTAAAGGATTGGTTCTCGGGGTCAAATTAAGCTGATAGTACACCATTACTAGGCTAGTCTGTAATGTTATTTGAACAAAGCAACTGCTAGCATGAATGTGTCACCCTGACTTTACTCCAATTGGAGAAATAGACTGTCAGTCTAGCTTTCAGCCCACAACTAAAGTAGCTTACTTACTATTGGTTTAAAAACTCCACCCCCTTCTCTTATTGTCCGTTGTTGAATTTGTAATAAAGTTTTTCATTCATCAACCAATCACAGTACAGACACAAGTCTGAGTCATTACAGACTGGTGACTACCATATTGGATACAGTTTATTGGGCAATTCCAACTTTGTCTTGCATATCAGACTTGGACGTAACACTATTTTACGAGTCGTTACTGTAATAACCGTGCACGTGGATTATGGGTGGAAGGTCAGGCAAATTTGTGGTACCTCATACGGAAGAGAAGGTAGCGGATGGTCCTCGTAAATCGGTAAGTTAATGCTGATATTTATATCTTAAAGATGTCAATCTCCTGAAATTTGAAGTTTCCTAGCAGCATATTTAAGCAGATATTCAGTTTTATCTCGATATAACCCACTGACTGTTGTGTAAGAAGTATGAACTAATATATCAGTTTTTTGTATTTAGTAAGAATCGTATCAATCAAGGTTGTATACACAGACTATGGTCCATTTAAACAGAAGTGCACCTCAGCTCGCAACTGTATTTACTAGATAAATACCGGAATTCCAATCCCGGTGTATTTTGGAATCCTGAAAGATGATGCTCATTTTGAGCACTTATAGTATAAAATAGGTCACCAGTGTCCTTTGTGCGTCATCCTTTTCATTGTCTGAATAACTGCAACTTGGATGTCAGTTGGAGTATTTCGGTACTCAGCGCAACATAGTATTAAGTAGATCATGCATGACTCTAGCAGTGTTCATGTGTGGACTTCTGGTAACAGAAAGCCTGTAGATAACACTTGTCTGCCACCGAACTTGTCTGGAGTTGATGAAGATAAAGAATAGCAGTATCATACCAAAAAAGACCTTGAACAGTTAATCAAATTATGAAGCTTTCCTTAGATAAAAAGTTGTTGATAAATAAGCCAGTTCGGGAGAGCCTTAGTGGAGCTAAGCGTTCCAGCAATTTCGTCAACGGATTTCGAACGGTAGTTATGAAATTGTGGATGTAGTCTGGCGAAGGTGACAAAGCATATGAACATCACTCATTGCTGCTGGTTTGATTGACGAACACTGGTTAATAATGACTAACCTTCAACGGTCATTTGGCAAGCCGTTATCAGTACCCGTTCTTTATCTCTGGCCTTTAGTTTCCTGAAAGGGAACATGGCAATTGCCTTGACAGATAACCAACTGAGTGTAGACATACGACAAACCAGGCTTTCATATTTGAATTTCAGTTATATAAGATCTTGTTAGCTTCACGCTTCACACTACATTTAGGTGTGTTTAATCAATTCAACTGAATGAAAAATACAAGTATATATCTGCTGTTCTTATTCTGTTACCTCTGACAAACAGTGTGCCGTCAGAGTTATACAATGATGCATCCAGAGGATCACATGACTAAGTCAGACCTAAAGTATGGAGACTTCCCATGTTATGTAGCATGAGTGATTTTGACTGTGGTTCAAACCAATAAAATCAAAAAGTTGGCTGCCTATTTCGGTGATCGATGGAATCACTTATGTAGATTAGAAGTGTGTAGTTAGTAAGCTGTCTAAGTAATTAGCCTACGATAGTTTTAATACTAAGAACTTTCAATCCCCTTAGGTGTAGTAGTCAAGAGATCTCGTAGCTGTTACGTGAAAAACCAGGCATTGCTAAATACACATTCGTTTTGTGTGGAATCAGTTTTTTGTCATGTTTCCTCATAAAACAACTTATATTTAGTCCGTTTAAAATAACTGCAATTGAATGACCGCCTGATCTGTACTTACTAAGATTTAGGTTGGATTAAAAATGTAGATAATGTGCAGTTATAATCTCTGGCTTTCATAATATTGTTAGTATCCTATTTATTTATTGTCACTTCTCAGTCGATCTCTCAGGGAACGCACTTTTCTTTTTCTGCAGTATATGTAGACTTGGTTTTCAGAACTGTACTTATGTAATCTCTACAGTTAATCTGTCACTGCACAACTAGAACACCTGCAAAAGCATGCTTCTCAATAATAACACTGGTTCGTGTATTTCTCGGTAGTGTGCACCTACTAGCTGAGTCCAAAATGCTGTCTCACTGCCCAAATCGTGTTGTATAAGAAGTTGCGAACACATGATTTATTTAAGAGGTTCATATTTTGAACCACGGTCCCAGTTCTTATGAACACTTTTGACACATTTCGGTGTCATGAAATGGTTCATCGTACTATCGAATACTTCCCAATTTGTAGTCTAACCTATAACTTGTTTAGTTTTGACGTAGGTGTAAAGCATTCTTGACTTCACAAGTTCGACTCTCGATGGTACCTTATTCAACTTGAGACAGTATTCGAACTCCCGCTTCGATATACAGCAATTTTTGTAAATGATACTATCCTCACTACCCCAGTTCAAGTTGTTTTCGATCTATTCTGGGCTGTAAATACACTCTTATCAGGCGATAAAGAGACTAGATTTGACACTTTCTTGTTTTATCAGTTTTCTCGTTAAATTATCTACTCACCCGTTTCACAATTTCTACGATAACAAGAATGCTAAAGTATTTCTGTATGCATTATCAAGGATTTTAAAGCTACTGCTTATGACTTATTTGCTTATGTCTTCGTTGTTAAACCTTGGGGGTGTCACGCAATACATTAGACTGAATTTATACGTTTTCGTTTTGCACCGATTTTAAACTTCACGTTGTTACTCGAACCCTAAATTTTGATTGACTGGACATATATCGGCATGTATGAGAATAGATCTTACTGTTCACTATGCGAAGCCATGATCATCTGATATGCTAGCCATAGTGACCTCTAGCACTTCTGTTTACTTACTTGCAGGGAAAACTACCGGTCTTCACGTAGTCATTTTCGAACTAAGTACCTACTATCTTTTCTTCGTTTCACATGAATTGTATGAGATTTCTGACGCTAAAACGATTGAATTTATGATAATTAGCAATTCTATTAAACACTAGTCGTTTATCTTAAAAATGCATAATTTTTATCCTGTGGCGAAACCGCATTTTGGGGCATGTAAATAATTCGATAGATTTGAACCTCCATAGTATTCGTTAGCTAAATTCCCAAGAAGATTTGTAGACAATCGTTAACTTCGTGGGAGCTCGGTCACAAAAGTTAGTTGAGAACGTTACAATGAAGTGGGGTATTTTCTAGGTCAAAGGTCAAGTGCCACTAGTTAATCAAGGCAGACAAGAATTGGTGTGTAGTAATATAAATATAATTCTGAAAGTGAGATTACACCGGTTGTTTACAGATGAAAAGCATCTCAAGGAATGTTAACTGATTTGGTGATGAGCAAAGAAAGCATTCTCTTCGTTGATATCCCCCTTAGATTTTGAATTTGTTGTGACCACTTTCGTGAAAAGAAATTGCTGAAATCAACACTTGGATTGGAATTCATTTTATGTGCTGTCACACGTTTATAATGCTGTAATTTAGTTTGTGTTTCTGGATACAGTGCCCTAATAAGTACTTACTGTTACATCGAACTTGTGATATTTCATCTCGGTTCTTTCTCGCTTGATGTACTGACATATGTGGCGATTTTGAAACATTACGCAGCAACGTCAGAAATGACGTATTTTCACGCAACACGATAACACCTGGAGATGACTTTTAGCCTCACCCATTAAGTTTTCAGGTCACTATTCAAGTTTGGTTCAGGTGACCTTTAAGATCACTCAATTACATCGTGATATGGAACAAAGATCAATATGATATAGGAGAGTGAATTAATAAATCGGTCAGAGGCTTATTCCAGCTGTGCAAGTAGGGTAGAACAAAGTAGGAGTTATGAGTCAACAGGGGGGGAGTAAGAACAAACTACTATTTTGGAAAGATGAATATGTGAGAAATTATATCCTGTAGAGAAATTAAACGATGTATAATAATTAGTAACACTAATAGTGATAACGACAAAAATACTTATACTAATGATAACTACACCAGAATTACATACATGAAATGCACATTATAAGTGAATGTTCCACGTTCGATTTCATAGTTTGTCAAACAGCTTGATTTATAACTTCCTCTAAATCAGAATTTTCGCACTTTTCAGGAGACAATAGAGCAAATCAAAATCCTAGACAACGATCAATCAGTACAAGTAAGTGTTTGTAGCTTACTTAGTGTTTACATATACACTAGTTGGTTTTATTACCTTTAAAGTTAATTTGGACATCTGAAATTCCTTCACTTCATAAGCGGATGTACCTTGATAACTTTGCCCCTCATATTTTTTCATTTACTGATCAATTAGCTCTTAAACGGAGTTGTTACAGCTGGACCAGATGTTCCCAGCATAGATGAGTTGGCAGAGGTAGGCTTGCTTTTCAGCTTCTAAAAAGCTTTTTATTTTGCTGATAGTAACTGTGGAAGAATTCATTGTTATGTCGTTTTGAAATCTATTATTAAAATTTTCGTTGCTCAATGTGCTTGCTTAGCTCCTGTTGCATTTTACTACAGTTGTGTCTAGTCGTAGATCTGTGGAATCTCATTATCGATATTGATTTTATGCAGGCCAATGAGCATTTATGTACCACATAAGTTTAATTGATTCTCAGCTTTGTGGTCGTGGCCAGCTATCGAGTTCCATTATGGATAAATGCAGTTATAAACTTTCGAAATCACTTAATTGTTTATATATCTGGCAGTTTATTTTGTAATAACGTTTTCTTAATTTTTTAGTTTCAAAGTACTGAGTCTTGCTGCATATCACTAAAACTGCTTTTGCTACATTGTTTGATTTGTAGTCCCCAGATGGCGTTACACTCGAAAATGATCATAAAGAAAATAGGCCAGAAGGGGAAGGTAACGTTGAACAACAAGCTAACGGTGACGTTTCTGCTTCGGATATTGCACAAGAGGCTGATGCAAAGTCATCTAAGAAAGGCAATCCGTTAACCCGAATTTTACGGCGTTTATCTAAAAAGAGCATTAGTCTCAAGAAGCACTCCACAGACAAAGGCGCCCCTGAGAAACCTGAGGATGCTCAAAACGAAGCCAATCAAGAAGATAACATTGATGAATTACAACCTCCTGTACCCACAGAGAACATTGACTTGAATCCAGTATCTGACAATGCAGTTTCGCTAGCTGCAGACAATCTAGTTCAAGACGTGATCCTTTCAGCTACTAACACTCATTTGGAAGAAACTCAAGTTAGTGAGACGAAACCTAGTGAAAATAGTACTGATCACGTTCATGAAATCACAAATCATGTTCAAGTAAGTTTATACACTAATTATTATAAGTCAGCATATCGTACAGTTGCCTGATCATAAATACATTCGTGTACTGGGTCGTAAAACTCATCTAGTGTCTGGTTTAGAGATACAGCATAGACTCATTTTGATAATGCTTTACTAGCAATAAATTAAGCAAATCAATTTCAGCATACTCAACTTCATACAATGGTGTTGTTTGAGGGTTAATAACGCCCATACTTGGTGTGTGGATCGGTGGTTGAACCTATGTTTTACTAGTTTTGTTTGAACTCCAAGATACCCGAATTCGATTGATGTCGATTGTATGTCATACTAATTCCTTATGGAAAAAATAAATGTTGCTCAATTCGGTACAAGTTTGTATACTAGGATTTGAACCATACTGGTTGTGTGGTTCTCCAGACCGAATTATGTAGAGTTGGATTCAGTACATGTGTAGAATTTAGACACTATTGGAGAATGTATTTCTACATTATACTAGCCTATTTTGATACAATACAATGATATTGTTATTTACTGATGAATATTATATATCAAGCAGACTAATCTAATATGGAGTTGGGATTGAATCCTTTGACTGACCCATTACTTAAAACTCAGGTGCTTAGAACAACGGGTCTCAGAAAGCTTTATATTTCACGACGATTTCTTTTGAGTCAGGTGAGATCACCTCAAATCGAGCAGCCGAGTACTACATATCAGTATTTTCTGTCGTCAGTCTGTTGATGGTACATTACACCACACAAGGAACACCATTTGTGTGGAATATGGTTATTACGTAAATGTTTCATATTCTTAATCTGTCTATTCTGTTCGGTACCAAACAATAATTCTAAGTGGTTACTCACTAAATGAACTAAGTTTTGCTAAGGATTGAAAGTCAATAGTGTGAAACCAAAAAAATCGTTTTCTGTTTATTCCTACAACCAGACCACAAATGGCATTAATAGCCGAACTTACAGTTGTACTAAAACTCGTTTTATGCTTAAACTGCCAATCATTAAAACCTATTGTGCTCAAATTTTATAAAGTTCGTTGATATGATATAACTCTCCAGCTGTTATAACCCTGCTTTAATCAAGATCGGTCTACGAGACTGCTTCATTCAATGACTTATCCTTGACCTCACTTTACTGTAGCCGTCATCAAACATAACATGTCCAAAATATGCGATCTAACAGTGACAGTTTAATTTCTTTACTGTTATGAAGGTTTGATGCATAATGATGAATCTACACACAAGTAAATATGGTTCCAAAGTAACCTTTATACCCCAGTTTTTTTAAAGAATAAAGTTCAAGCATACATCCTACATCCATGGCAAGAGGTTCATCTATACCCTATACCCTAATAATATTCATATGAAATTTCCATTTTTATCATTCTAGGAATCACCCTGTGAAGTTGAGAACTCACATGTCTCTAATGTTTATGCTGAAGAGTTCTACATCAAGGAAGAACCAGTAACCGAGTGTAAAATGAATTCCAAAGAGGTCCTAGTCAACGGTGTCCACTCACATGATGAGGTACGTGAGTTTTTCTTAATAGTTACTTGTTTTTCTTTATTTCTATCCATCACAAGCGTTGTTTGTTGAGTAGACATTTCGTTTGATTGTCTGTTTTAAATTTGATGAACAAGTGATAGACATCGATATCTGCGTAATGATTCGAAGTTCATCTTGATCTTTAAATGAGTATGACTGAAAGAGAAATATTCACAGAAGGTTGGCTCCATCAACGTCTTAGTGTATGGATGACGTAAAAGATTAGAAGTTTCTGTCACTGTATTTAGTTCCAAGCTGCTTCTATCCTGTAGAACCAGCGCAACCCAGGAACTGCAGTATCTCGTTGTTTCTGAGTATTTCATACCTTTTCTTTTTTCATAGATTTCGTCATAACCAGGACAAACATGGCCACAAAATGTATTATAAATTCACTCTATTTTTTACATGGTAATCATGAATTGTTATTTATTTTAATAATCATTAATGTAAGTCGACTAGTTTCGTCGTGAATGTACTATCTTCATTATTGAAGAAAATAAGCTACTCACAGCCTCTTATTTCAAGGGATTGGTTTATGCTTAAGGTGTGTAATTTGTTTTTTTTTTTGGTGTGTAGCAGTTTTACACATAAACTTAACCATTTAAGTATTTCTGATGTAAAGCCCAACTTGTCAACCACTTTTTGTGTACAGGCCACAAACATTTTCAAGTTAAAATCTATTAATTCTCTTTCCTTTGCATACAACGAGTTTTTGGATTTTACTGTCTGCTCTGTGATGTATACTTATTCCAGTTTCATGGTACTTTACTACTTTGTAGATAGATGAATTGAATGCCAACAATACCAGTGTGCTCAACGATGACAGTTTAATTCAGTCGAAACTGGCAAATCTTGAATTGGTGAATGGACACGCTGAAGTTAACGGATTCCACTGTGAAACAGCAAATGACTCAATGGTAGCGGCAAACAATTATTGAGAGCATCACCATGTTACATCTATTTTGCTAAGTGACTTCATAATTCATTCAACAAATCACCTATTTCTAATCTTTCTGTAACAAAATTGGTCGTCTTTTGTTTTAGATATTGTTTCTTTTATTACCTTTTTGTCCCACTACTCTCGAAATCTGCTTTAGTCATGTTCTCTGCACCATAGATATCGGGTAAGATTGTTGTTTCGAATGAGTTTTCTACTTTGTTCAAACGTATACATTTTTAATTGTTTTAAAATGCTAATTAATGCACTGGGAGAACAAAATGCGAAGATATGATGAATTTGTAGAGTAGTAAAATATGGTCTATTATTACTATTATTATTATTATTATTATTATTATTATTATTATTATTATTATTATTATTATTATTTGATGCATTCTTTACTATATGACTGACCAGTGACGACTAACACAGACTACTCAACTGTAACTTTGAACCATTTCAGACTTCTCGAATTAATGAGTTATATGATTGTTCGGAGTTTTTGTTGTGGTATACTATCAGATACTAACATAACACTAGCAAGCCCATTTCACGATACCGTGCTATCAAGTGTATATGTGCTTGTTTGGTATTATCGTCTTTTCGCTATATCCAGTTCTTACAGTATTCTCAGTACTCTGACTTCACGAACAAACATATTGCATACGCGACCTTTCCAATCAAATCATAGTAATCGTTTTTTGTTCCCAGAGAAATCTCTTACTTTTCCTAGGCTGTTGGAATACTCATTTTCTATGTTGAGCAAATTATAAAAAAGCATTGTATTGCAGATCAAACGTTAATAACTCGTATACATATATGTAGTACTACTCGAGGACATAAACAAACCTATTTGGTTTCTTTTTTACGCAGTTTTAATGTAACTAATGTCTATTCTTTTACTGTTTCACTTTCTCTGTGTATAACTTACTTTCGGTTTTTTGATGTTTCCCTTCCATCTAGTGTTACTCGTTGACAAAAGCAGAAAAAGCGCGTCCCCTATCTTCTAACACGTTTGACATTCAGCAAATCACAGTTTCACTGAAGTGATCAACAAAAACTTGTGCCCACCGTTCTGTCTCTCACTCTGTATCTGTAAATCTCTTCAGGATTTCAATAATGGTTTTAAATATGTTCGTACACCTCATTTTATGCTAATATTGACAATTTTTTCACGTGGTTTTATTTCAACATCAATCCTAAAATAAACTGCTTTTAATTGCTTTTAAGAGTCATTTTGCTTTGACTGTATCTGACTCCATATTTTTCTTTTACCTCTTGTTACAAATCAAATCTCGACGATCGTTTGATCAAGTATATATATGACCTACCAATTTTTCCATTGACAATCTCACCTTCAATTTTCTTTTAGGACAATGCTTCTGTTTCATTCAAACTAATGTCACCTTGATTTATTCACTATTAATTTTGAAATATACGGAATACTTTACAGAGTTGGATTTGTTGTCTCCATTGCCGATACCCAGTTAGCTGTTTTCACAATCTACTGTTTAAGAGAGGGTCTATAATAATCCATGATATTCTGTGGATTATGTATTTGTTTATTTGTTTCGTGATTATATTCAGTTAATCTAGTTTTATTTTGATCTCATGTGAATGAACAGACTATGGGGTAATGAAACTGAAGTCAGTACGAAGATAAAGCCTAAGAAAGAAACTGGAAGTGAGAGTTGGATGTATAAGAGTGTAATATGGTGAGGGACATTATTTACGAAAGTAATGATGACTAAGATGACTTCTTTGGGACTGCATAAAACAGTTTTTACAATTAATATGATGTCATTTTACGACCTGTGTTACTGTTGTGTATGATATTCCGGTTGGATAAGTTTTTTTATCTTGATGATGCCTCTAGCTTCAAGACTAGCATATCTTGGGAGTTTTCCGTTGTACCGCTTCAGTTATGAGCATGGTAGCTAGGAATTTTCTGCTACCCAAGTCGATGACGTAATTCCTACAATCCAGGTTTAACCGATTGGCTCGTATGCATCCTAGATATCAACACTAATTGTTTTATACCGAACTCGTGTCCAGTTCAGTATTGGGCAGTTGCAGGCGTCCACATAATGATGTGGTATAAGAAACCAGGATAGTTCAATAAATAAGGGTTACAAGGCACGACATACCAACCGCTGATGTCCATAAGATGAAAGGATTTTCAAAAAATCTGAGTACCATTTCCTAAACTACCTTCTCCAAATGCTAATTATTAGGAATTCTCCAATTAACTGTGGTGTCACTTATTTGCTAAAGTAGGTGGAAATGGAGATCGGTAACGGAAACTGATTTTTCACTTTAGGGTTCTCTGTCACTTATCATAATTTTCATACCAAGAATAAGGTTTTCCTTTTCTATCCCTTCCTATTCCTATGTTTCCCATTAACTTCATTGACTTTTTCGTAAATTTTCATAAACACATCAGTTTATCTCTCATAGCACTGATTGTCTTTTCTCACCTTTAGTGTGTCCGATGAATGGTTGTTCTTCCAAGTGTGGTGTTGGGTATTGGTAATTTTCGCTATGAAGAAAGATTCTGGACACTGGCTCCGTTCGTATCTTACCTACGTTTGAGACGTGTTTTGACAGTTGTGTGGTGACAAAAAATCGAATAAAGCTTGCTATTTGCAATGAAGTTGTATAGGACTGTAGCACGATATTCCGTTTACAAAATAGTTCTGCGCCTGCCATGTGTTGCTTTGTATATTCACTCTGAGAAGTGTATATCGTCAAGGGACGAAAAGTTGGTATCCAGTCTGCTTTTGTCTACTGCAGAACACATTTTGTTTGCATTTATTCAAACTTGTAACAACATAAATGCTGGTAATAAGGAAATTGTGTTGAGCACTTAGCAAAGGTTATAAACATAATGTATTCCTTCGGTAAGTAAAACTCTTGACTAAGTGATTAGGAAATGGCAAATCAATTAGAAAGTTTTTAGAAATGCCAGCATTTATTTACATAGTGCGCCACTGGAATGTGTGCGGGGCTTGGGCGTCACAATCAGCGAGATGTTACCGATCAGCACTCCACAGAGTACTAAGCAACTGATTTCAGTTGATTAGGTCGAATATCTGAGTCAGAAAAGTCAACACAGCAGTAACGGTTGATCTATTTTCTGCCTAATTTTGACCTTTAATAGTCTGAGGTGGCACCTAAGAAAATCTTAACTGACAACTTGGTGAATGCATAGAATCCGGTTCGACGAAGCTATGCAGTTCACCGAGATTACTTGATACTTGACGAGTGAGGCCAGTCGTAAAGACCGAATAGAGTGGTGTTTGGTAATGAAGGGATCACAATGTAATCTACAAACTTGAAGAGTTGGCTAATTTGTTGTCCGCTAAAGTAGACTATTATTTAAAGGATTTAATAAATCTGTTCTTGAAATCAGTAACAAGATAATATTAACTCCAATGAAGGCTTTATTGATCAGGTAGTCGTAGCAACCGCTGGGTATCCTGATGAACGAGTTACTTGTGGTCAAAGTGATGGATATTAGGTCCTAATGTCAATGAGAGTTGTAGCGTTTTGTGCACCCACCTGACAAGTTCCGAATAGCACGAAACACGCTTCCTGCATCCCAGTGACGACCACTACCAAACAATACCATTCACATTCAGAAGACTAGGAATTACTGTTGTTATGGTTTTAATAAGATAATGATGCATGGTACTAACAACAATCAAAACATGTTGAATAATAGCATTAACAACAAGCGCGACATTCACTAACTATCGTATCGAACCCATGCTCTCAGGAAAAACGATGAGTCATTATGACATTTTATGATGACCAGCTAATCCAAGGTTTGATTAAATTTAAAGACATCTGGTTTGAATCACCGGTTATCTTGGTGTTAGGCTTTAACGAAATGTGAGTTTCTTGATTGGGCTTAAAATAGTATAATAATAAAATCATGGCAGTTCGGTTTGTATCGGGTAATATATGAGTTAAGACGAATAAATACCTGACATCAATATTTTACACTTCAGCTGCACGCAACGTTGGTTCCTTTCTTCATAGTTTTAATGTACTTGTTTTATATGAAGGCTTACTGTCCAGCATCCATGCCGTCTAGTATGTCGTATTGCTTTGCTTTCCTCGTGCTTAATCCCATTTAGGTCACATATGTAGGTTTATTAGTACGGTTCTACAAATTCACGATCTCTGTCTCTCCACCACCATGTTTTTCCATAATTTCATACCTGTGGGTTTTGAACAAATGCGAAAACTAGTAGTTATTATCTACACTTGTCAAGCTTACATGCACAACCTCCGACTACTCTTTGGATAGTTAAAACAGTCAATTAACAATAATCCCATATTTGACCACTGCTTTTCAAATATTTATAAGTTTACCGTGTTGTCTATGGTACATGGATTTATTTATTTACTTCTTGTTGTTATACTGGGTCGATCTTTTTTGGGAGATGAGCTCCTATGCAGATACCTGAATATCCATTATGTTGTGGTTTACTTGGTGGTGGCTAGTAGTGCAGTCCAAGAGGCACGTTTCGTCCCGTTTAGGACTCGTCAGTTGGGTGTGCTTGCATCGCAGTGAGCGGTGGTGTTCCCACTGAGACTCGAGCTCAGTACCCATCGCTTTATACTTCAAAGTGTTATCCACTAAGGGATGAGAACCACCTCTTATGCAACGGGTATTAGTTGTTGTTTGTTGATATCTGTAATGCTCCGTTGTGCAAATATCCTATTTACCAACATTACATTACTACTGAGACAAGTTTTTCTATGCATTGGATATAGACCAATATATTTTACTGCAACTTTTCAAATTCTGTGCCATTCTTCGTTTGGTATGCTTGTTGATATCATACATTTTGTTAGAGTCTATCGGTTAGGATAGTTCAGAACATAAGACTTTTTTCGTCCCTATCAAAACTCAGTTGGTATTTACGCATACATTCGTCTCTACATTGGAATTTACTTTTACATTACAATTAACCTTACGCATATGGGTTTACCAAAGGTGTACTGTTAAATTCAGTAGAGTCTTGAAACAATAAATGAGTACTTCGACCTTTATCATATGAGGAGATAAAGCTAGAATATCAGTGGATGTTTATCCTAATTTTTGATAACTAAAGGTGTAATTCATGCATACTGTGTAACTCATTTCAGTTTCTTCAGTGAAGCATCACCAAAGTAGATTAGTTTCGAAATCACTTAGCCATTCGAACTTAGTTGTATTGTGTTCTCTGAGCTGGGTTGTTTAATCGTGAAGCTTTCATCGCCTTGCTAGACGACATCATCATTTACGGAAAGATATTGACAGCTCACTTCATACTGAAGTTAGTGCTGATGATGTCGTCTAGCAAGGCGATGAAAGCTTCACGATTAAACAACCCAGCTCAGACAACACAATACAACCAAGACCATCCACCTGAGCTACAAATATTGTCCATCATTCGAACTTAGTTATTGAGGCAGTTTGTCATAACTTTACCTCTAAGAGATCAGAATGTTTCGTTTTGTGGATGCCGAGTTAAGTACTAAAAGATTTCGTTTGTCAAAACTTATTTCATCTTCATCGGAACAATATCTAACTATCTAGACTTTTTAAATCTTCTCTAAACTATTAATATTTCATCCCTATACAGAATTTGGAAGTTTTGCTGAAAATAAGGAAACTTTATAGGTTGTTAAAAAGTAGTTATGAGTATTCCTCTGATAAAATCGCTCTCATTTGAACATGAATAAAGTTTACTGAGAAAAAGTTTTCAACATCCTAAATGGTGTCCACAGTGTTTTACAAGTGAGTAACCACTGGATATATGCGAAAACAAAACAGATCCTATCCCTAAGTTGTTGCTTGTATTATCCTATCGTCTGGTTGAGCCGAATCGATAGGTTGTTGTTGGCATATGCGCAGGAACGCATATGCCTCGATATTCCCTGTTGTTTCAATTTTATAGTAGTGAAATTTGTTAGTACCTTCATCATAGAAACCTTTTCATTTATAAGCAGATCTCTTCGCAAAACGAAATTACACTAAGTTTAAGTTCTAACTCTAAACAGTGGTATAACAGTCTAAAAAGTTTAGGTTTGATACCGGTATGAGTCTAATGTACACGCAGTAAAGGTGTTTCAGACAGGGATAAGATCTTCTAGTAATGATGGGTATTGAATAGCGGTGAAATGTAGGATGTGGGTTTCATCCCGTTTGGGTCTCGTCAACTAGATGTACCTCCCTCCCAGCGAGCTATGCTGTTCTCATTAAGATTCGTAGCTGGGACCGGTAGATACATCTAGTTGGCGAGACCCAAACGGGATGAAACCCACATCCTACATTTCACCGCTATTCAATACCCATCATTACTAGAAGATCTTATCCCTGTCTGAAACACCTTTACTGCGTGTACATTAGACTCATACCGGTATCAAACCTAAACTTTTTAGACTGTTATACCACTGTTTAGAGTTAGAACTTAAACTTAGTGTAATTTCGTTTTGCGAAGAGATCTGCTTATAAATGAAAAGGTTTCTATGATGAAGGTACTTACAAATTTCATGTTCAGTGATAAATCAAATTCGTTTATCTGTATTATTTGGTGGGAATTGAGAATTAAACTAAACCATATCATGTGCGTAAC